ACCGAGAATTAGTCTCCTGGCAACGAAGGGGGAGGAGTTAGGAAAAAAGGCCAGAGTGTGTGTGTGGAAAGAGGTGGGGTTTTTGGGGGTTGTTGGAGCTCAGCTCGGGAGCAGGAGGGGAGGCTGCAGCAGAGAGGAGAGACTGCCTGGTTTCTCCTTTGTTTTTTTTTTCCCTGTGGGAGAGGAGTTCTTTTGCTGCTATCTCTCTGCACAGTTGCCGGCTGGTTGCAGTCTTTGTTTTTTTCACCGCGGGACCTTCACTGAGTCGTGAGTTTTTTCTTCCATTGGGAGAACTTTCTGTTTCCCTTCCCCTTCCCCCCTCCTCCCTCGCCACCCGGCGGCGACCAGGGATCCCACAGCGCCGCCTGGTGACAAGCGCTGGACATTGCAAGTTCCACTCCCACAGCGCCACCCGGTGACTACTATAGAACATTACAAGCTCTGCACTTTTGATAACTCAACAGCGCCACCTGGTGAACGGTATAAGACATTACAAGTTTTTGCATCTCCAGGGACCCGACGGCGCCCCCTGCTGACTGTGGCTGGAACTGCACCAAAGAGTGCTAAAAATTGAACTATTTGATTTTCTTTTTTGCCGGTTTTATCGGTTTTGTTCTTGAAGGGGATTATTGGTGGGTATAGGGGTATTGCTTGGTTGTTTTACTTGGTTTTTTTTTCGTGTTACGTTAATACACACATACCTTTTAATAAAGGGCTGTTATTTTTCTTCTTCCCTTTTCCATAATTTGTTTTCCTTCAATCGGAGCCTCTTAATTTCGGATCTATAATTGCTAGAGAAGAAGGTTTGGGTCTTTTTCTCCTAATCCATCCTCAGCAAAAGACCCTTGTCTCAATTAAACTGAGACAATATCCTCTGTTATTTTATTGATTGCCCTCAGATCTTGGACCAATCGATAGCTCTTACCATCAGCTTTCTTCACTGCAAGGATGGGGGTGTTATATTTAGATTCAAATTCTACCAATAGGCCAAATTTAAGAAACTTTTCAATTATGGGTGCTAAACTTTGACGACTTTCTAGCTTCAAGGGGTATTGTTTTTGCCTTACCAGTGTTGCTCCTGGCTTGAGCGTGATGCTTACGGGTTCTGCTCGTTTGGACCTCCCAGGACATTCGCTAGCCCACACTAAAGGGATCACAGCATTTTCAACTTCTGCGGGGATCTCTCCGTGGTTCTCTTGTATGAAAAAGGTGGCTGCCTCAATGTATTTAGTGTCAGGGATGATAACTTTTATTCCTTCCCCCTTACAGAATTTAATTTCAGCTTCCAGTTTTTCTAATAAATCTCTACCCAATAAAGGCATAGGAGAATTTGGCATATAGAGGAATTGATGAGTTACCCAGTGTTTCCCTAATTTAAATTTCAAGGGCTTAAAGAAAGGCCTGGTTTCACTTACCCCTGTGGCACCAACCACAGTTACAGTATCCTGACTTAGTTTCCCTTCCAAGGTGTTTAACACAGAATATGCAGCACCTGTATCAACCAAAAATTCCACATCTTCTCCCCCCAGCTTAGCTATAACCAGAGGTTCTGCT